GAGTCTTTAATGTAATATTGTGACTTTCCCAATACATTACTCAAAACTGCTGACAGATATTTAGATAATTGGTACGTTGGAGCATTTATGTTACTACCTATCGGCCGTAATGGAATGTTTTCCTTATGAAGCTTTGGTAGGCTTTTGGGGATTTTGATTAAATTCGTATTATTTAAAAAATCTTAAGATTTAGGTATCATAAACCTTATTAAAACAGACACTTATTTTGTTCAGCGAATCCAAAAATGCAATAATATACAGGACATTCCATTTAAAAAAACGCAACTTTGATACCTTTAGAGCTTTTGGGACACCCTGTACATTACAAAAATATTTTTTAAATGTGCGCTCGGTAGGCGTCGAACAATTCATAAAATAATACTTTTTAAAAATCAAACGGTTTAGCCGCAAACTTCCCTGCCGTATAGCGTGAATAACCCTGTATACTTTCCTGAGTGTGTTTCAATTCCAAATCAAAATTCATTCCTGGGTTTCAGTCATTTATTGTCTCTATTTATCAATTAAAATACGTTTCGGTGTATTTTTCCACCATCATCAGTTTTTCTAAAATAACATATAGTTAAAAAAAAATCATTAATTTAAAAAACAACGGTGTTATTTTAGGAAAACTGATGATCGTGAAAAAATACACCGAAACGTATTTTAATTGATAAATAGAGACAATAAATGACTGAAACCCAGGAATGAATTTTGATTTGGAATAATCCCAGTCTAAACTGCCTTTACGAAATATTAGCGACGCTTGGCCTGCTGCAAACAAGCATATTCCGCCAAAGTCTATTTCGAGCGCCGACTTCCGCTCATGCCTGCCTCAACCAGATCTTTTTTTAGCCGACATCGCATTTTCACTTAAATCCCGTTTGGCCTTTGCTATGAATTATACTATTACGTCCAATCGGCTGCAGGGCTTGGGCAAGCCGACTCGCCGAGGAGTGAAGAAATGTCCCCGCTGTGCCACCTTCAATGGCACCAGAGGATTAGTGTGCAAGAACAAACAATGTGCCATCAGTCTGAAAGCCTCCCAAGACCTAGCAGATTGGGAAGCCGTGCAACTGATCACTGGAACAGTGCGCCAAGTCTACTCAGTGCGTGTGAAAGAAGGCGGCCGAGGATTCGTCCAGATTCCGTTCAGTGCTGAAGATATTCGGACAGATTCGGGGTTGTGCTTCGTCGAGTCCTGTCAGAGATCCTTCGACAATTCTATACTGAAGTGCCACGAAGAGGAACAGAGTGCTACCAAGGGAGCCACTATATGCAGTCACATCGACATGGCTTTGAAAAGCCGAGCTCTGGCGCAGCCTCTCGAGCTGCACGAGGCCGCTTTGGAACGTTTGGAAATCCCAGTCGAGATGAAGAGCCTGCTGCGTGTGTATAGCGAAGGCAGTCCTTTAGTGCAAATGGTTTCCAGGGAAGTGGTGGCAGTTAAATGTCAGGTCAGCCCTAAGCAACCCTTAGGATACCTGCATTTCACATTTGTCAAGGGGCGCAGTAAGGCCTACGATAAGTACCGATGCAGCTGCACTTTTGGTAGGTTTTCGCTAATGGGTTTTGAGAGATTCAATCCAGACTAGGAAAATAAACATGTGTAGGTTTTTGCGAGCCTCTTTCTACTACTTGGAGCAAATGCATCCATTACTATGCCAGCGTGGCAGCTTTGGCCAGCAACCAGAACTGCATGGAACAGTTTGCTAGCTTCCTGACCAATGAAGTGACTCCCAGAAGTAAGCGTGTTTTCCCATAATGGGTAGTGTTAAGGTGTAACAGGTTGCCCAAAAACTTTTCTGTAGATAAATCAGTTGGGTTTTCCTACGCCAAAGTGTCCAAGTTTGTTGACCTTCGGGAAGCGAAGAGCAAGGCCAAGGCGGGTCGATTGATCAAGAAGACAGTTTCAGTGCCGAATAAGGTCGGTATTGATTTTTCAGTTTTAAGTTTTTCTGAATTAATTGTGAATGCCATTTTCTTATTACTTATAAAAAAGTGTCTTAATATTGTAACGGAAATGGCCTGAGGTACTCACGTTTGGAATGGGGGGATCGAAATTCATGGTATTTCAGTAAATGGGAGCCCCATTTGGGCCCCCATTGGCCATTGTTTTTTGCAAAGTATTATTTGATGAATCCACAGACGCCTATCGGGTGCACATTTTAAAAATATTTTTGTAATGTACAGAGTGACCCAAAAGCCCTAAAAGTATCAAAGTTGTGTTTTTCTAAATAAAATACCCTATATATTATTGCATTTTTGGATTCTCTGAGCAAATTAAGTGTTTGTTTTAATAAGATTTATAATGTCTAAATCTAAAGATTTTTTAAATAATTCGAATTTTATCAAAATCTAATATTATTTTCAAGTATCAAATACTTCAGAATTGTTTAATTTATGTAAACGTAATTCGTAGTGTAGGGTAACTAGAAATCATATTTTATATCCCAATGATAATAAACTTACCATTTTATACAGTGTCCACAAATTTAAACTAATCAAATAAGAACTTTAAGTGGCAATAACTTGATTAATTTAAATACAACCCCATATTATTTAGCTTACCAGGAAATGCAATTTTTAATTACCTATCGGGGTACTAGGATGTTTATAACTAAGTTTCTGCCTTTTTACAAAATACACCAAATAATGGTTCTGTGCACCATTTGGAATTTTTTAAATTATAAGGTTAAATAACATATCAACAATAACATAAAACGAAGGCAAATTATTTATAACAAATGTTCGAAATGTTGACCGTCCATTTCCAGGCACGTGCAAATTCTTTTTTCAAAACCACTGCTAACTCTGGACAACATTTGCGGAGTTA